AAGACTGCCTTCAACTGTCCGTCTAGTCGGGCTTGATTGATGCTCCACAAAATTTAATTTAAGGGTGTCGCAATGTGATCACGGCAGAAAAATACGTGTTGCAGATATATCTGGCTTGATTTTACAGTTACCTTGTATGTCTGTTCAACTTTGTTATTTTTAACTGATTACTCGTATTTTAATTAGAATGTACATTGAAACTAGCACGACAGATCAATGCAGATTCAAATATGATAAAAAGCATGCCTTAATTAAATCTAGAAGTGTGCGTTATAATTAGTCTGCCTATACTTGTATTTCTTTGGTAAATAGTGGGTCTTAAAATACAAGATGCGGCTTTAATGTTTTTTTATTTTACACTCTCAAAATGATGGTAAGATTAACGTTACTCTCTTTCTTTGCGAGTCAGAAAACGGGTTTTCTGTCTGGATGTTGCTGCTTGCAAATAGTTGCAAATCTTTAGAGAGACAATGTTGTAACTTTTCCGCATAGATAAAACTTCAGTTTCATTAACATTTTCTCAGTATTTTCCCTTTTATTGTTCAAATGAGACTTTTGCAATTTTATTTCCATGTATGTTTTTTTGCTCCTTAACTGACGTTATTTCAGCTCCTAATTCGAAGTGTGAGCGAAAGTTTATGCCCTGTTTTCGTAATTCTGATTGTCTGCTCAAAAAGTAAAGAATTAGTCCAAGAATTGGATGATCCAAACGATCTCAAACGCGACAAAAAAATGAAATCAGGTTTGAACAATCCAAGAAAAACAAACTGTTTAAATCAACCTCTAGATTTGTCTACCAACGTTTTACACATTTGTGATAAATTGGGTTGTTTAATTTAGGTTTCTGATGGATTTCTAGAAATAAAATAAAGCATAAACCTCGAAGAGAAGTTTCACTTTCCCGCTTTCTCGACACAAACTCAACACTTTCCACTGAGTATGGAAGTTGGGGTTGTTGAATCCCTTAACTTTCCCTCGCCTATTTGTATTTGGTGTAAATGTACGTTTCGTTTGTGTGTTTACTTCACCATGTTCTTCTCGTTTTTCTGAGCAATCATGTGTTTTTATCCTCATTTTCATGTGGGCATTTATGCTCATATTTATTGAGGAGCTGTATCTGCGTCGTTACAGTAGCTCTATTTTTGTAAACCTGCATTTCTTGAAGTGTAGATTCCACATTTTTATCGGCTTGTCTGTCTATAAAACATCTAAATTCCTATCTTGATTACCGAAGTTACCGGGATTTTCAAAAGTGTCTTTTGCTAATATTCAACTGAAATATTTCAAGCTCAAACTTGTTTTGTTTGAAAGCAAATTATTTTGAATCTTTAATTATTGCTTTGGTCTCAAGATTTAACACTTTTTGGTAAAAGTACGGGCGAAAGTGAGTTCTACAGTTTGATAGCGTTCAATTTTCATTCTGTTGGTAATAATTTCAGTTAACGTGCTCTTATAACGTTGTATTAACATTCTTTTGATCTAACGTATTATTCATCGCATGATTGCCAATACATTTCTACTTTACTTGGTATGTCAACATCGTAGCGGCTTTTTCCGTTAATTAACATGACCTACGGACATTTCTGTTTAATATACTTTTAGTGATACCATAATGAAGCCGCGTGATAAATACGCTGAAAACTAATCTATTTTCCGCATGTTAATTTTTTATTTTGCACTTTCGTATCAATTTAAATAACTATTATTATGCTGCAGACCGCAAATACTTGGAAAACGGGATGAAGGATTAACTGCTTTTTTGCCTATGTTGAAGGATGAATTTTATTAAAATATAAATTGACTGCTAAAGCTTTAATTGCTATCCTACAATGGCTGTTTAAGGCAGGTATGTTATCAAGGGCGCAAAAAACTGCAAGTATTTATGAATAATAAATCAATTCAAAATTCATGTAAAAAACCAAAACACATACCAAAGCTTATAGAGACCAATAGTATAGACGAAGCCTATAGGAGAATGTTTAGAAACTCGATAAAATTGAAAACCGGCTCTAAAGCAAAAAAAATCAGTGAGTTCATTTTTGGTGAGATGTTGCTGAAACGTACTTTGTCTGGTTGTAAATAAATCATCAACGTGAGATTAACTGTAACTTACAGCATTCCACTAATTGATAAATTTTTATTACACACATAGCAATAAATGCTGATTGAAACGGTCAACAAATAAATTATAACTTTATTGGCAATATGATACTTTGCATGAATAATAACAGGGCATTAATTTTTCAAATGCGATGCCGTAAACTGCTTTTAGTTCCATTACTAAGTCCTTTGTTTATGCAATTACTTTGTCTCGTAATTCATGTTATTTCACTCATTTAGCGACTGATATCAAGTAATTACAAATCGAGGGTTAATTCCCCATTATGCAGTCTTCACCTTTAACGGCTTCTTTTATGGATATTTCAGGATTTTTCAAATTACTGCCAACTTTTATTAACGCAATAAATATCGCTTAGTATGTTACAATTCTAATGTTGAGAGTATCAACCTTGAAGAAATCCTATGGGTATTCAAAGTTTATACGATCAAGACCAAGAAATTTATATTATTATTGATTATTTTTACTTCAAGCGGTAGTTTTCTGCATTTGGATAATGTAAGAAAAGTGACATCATTCGTGTTTCCAATAAATAAATAACTATGAGCAAAGCGTGATCAAACTTCTAAATTAATAGTGTTGACTACTGGTGTTGACAAATAATAGCTTATTGTAAATTGGCGTCATTTTAAGGACTATTTTTGTGAGGAACCTTACAAATTACCCGTTCGTAAGAACCACTCTGCATGTGAATCCGTCTCCCCTACCTTATAAGTGAAGAATTAATTACTGGTGTTAGTTCTGTAATTATATTGAAGCTGCATTCTGCATGAAAACCGTAATGTAATGCGAGAAAATCGGATTGAAAAGGTCGGGCCATTCAATAGACGAAATTATTACAAAATAGCTTGTAGCCAACATAATCGTCTATCTGATCTCGAAACAATTATTACGGAAATCTTATTAAATTTTGGTATACCCCATGGAGAGATTACTCCAACGGGTTTCTAACAAAAGGAGGAGGCCTTTTAGATAATGACAAGGTTTTATTTTTAAGCTTTCAGATTCATGATTTCAATATCGCCTTTGTGGGGACTTAATTTTATTTTAAATTGAATACGAGATAAGGTAGGACGTGTCGCTTGCTTAGAAGAAATGAATATTGGACCACCGATTGAGTCGAATCCCGGAACATGTTCGGTTAACAAGGCATTGAAAGGTCGAATATGAACAGTAGAGGATTGTTTATTAAAAGGCCCTTACTTTGTAGTAAACTTTTATAGAAAAATGTCACATTTATTCATCATTTTCAAAGCTTTTCAAACAACAGCTTCGAGTAGAAAATCCAAATCCGTCCAGTATTAATTCTAATTCTGGTGATGAAAATTGGGATATTTGCACACGACGCTAAAAGCGGTAATAATATATCGAGACAAGGTAATGAATGATTATTATAAAATATCAATCACGATTTTTAGTTTGACTAACTACATGGCATGCGGCCGTGCCGAATAAAGATATAAAAAGAGCAAGAAATAATGGATAATTTCGGCGCTAATAAGGTCATGTACCATAAACCTTAACATTATGAAAGTCAATCTAATTAGTCCAACTATTGCTCTACATTATCATTGTAACGAGTAACAGCAATGATGAACTGTCAGGATCGCTCACGAAATAGCATTTCAATTTTGTTATTATACATGGATGACATTTGAGTGGCTCAAATGTTGTAACTGCTCACTATTGATTTAATTATAGGATTTATTATTAAAGTGTACTGGATTAACAATGTTTTGACATTCTATTATTGAATTATTTCGCCTAGATTTAGTTCTTTGTCATGATGAATCTATTGGACGAGTCACCTTGACTTATATTGCTTAGAGGCTAATTCATTAAGAAAAGATGATGCCCGACTGAGGAGTGTGATCACTTTTTTTTTGTAAATGTTACCGTGACTTAAATAGCATTTGAGACTGGGATTTTTCATTGCGAAGTCATAAGAGGGCCCGAGTTATCTGGAATCTGGACCCAGTCTTCTGGAAACTAAGTTGGAAATACTATTTTCATGGTATCAAGTCTAGTTCTTTCGTGAAATAAATGCTGAAGATATCGAAATGTTCCCAAATATATGTGCTGTTTACCACAGGAATTGCAAAAAAAATATTTCGAATGTTTCTGAATAGATGACTTCGAGATTTTTTCAGAATAAAGTACTAAACATCATTGGTTGAGAAATTACGTAAGTAGCAGAATTGTTTGGCGATTGCTTCTGTATCCTAAACTTGTCTGTTTCGTTTTCAAGCATCTTTTTTGCTGCAGTACAAAACACCCAGCTTTTTTCTCAATTGCATTTGGAGCTGCAAAGTTTTGCGTTTCACTCTTTGCATCATCTGGTTTTGCTAATTTTGTGCAATATTTAAATAAAAACTTGTTTCTGGATGTCAATTAGTCGCAAAACTGATACTAAATTCCGTAGAGAAATTGGTGCTATACGATTCTTATAATTTCATAATTTTATTGACAACAAAAGACTGAATTTCTACTATATGACCCCCCTTGACCTGAAAGTTGTATCCGCAGCTGCTCAATGTATGATATTCAAATTTCGCTTTCTGGGTCAAAA